TTCCAGCTTTTTTCTTTTTGCTTATGTGGTGCTGAGGAATCGAACCCAGGTCCTCAGGCATGCAAGGCAAGCACTCTACCACTGAGCCACCTTCCCAGCTATAACTATATTTTTATATTATAATATACCATATATTATGTTATAGGTAATTATATATGTTTATATAACTATGTATGATACATCGAATCGAATCTATATTCCTCATATAGTCCTTGTACCCATGATGCTCTCACAGTAACAGGTTGGTGGGGTCGCAGTCTTAGGACCCCATCGACGGCGGCGGTGGCTCGGGAGGTGGGTTTAGCATGGAAGGGTGAAGGACCGACTTCTCCAGTCCCCTCCCCAGCTTCTCCTGGGCCTTGCCAGGACCCACAGCCAGCCGTCCCGGACCTCATTTCTCAGCCAGCTGAGCCCTCCGAGGACCTCTTCCCGGTGTCATTAATCCCCGGACAATGGAGCGTAAGCACGCCTTCCCCGAGCCGTGTGCGCAGGTGTGCGTGCAGGTGTCATGGGTCTGAGCCACGGGGGCTCTGGGCGCCTTCCCGGGGCCCCATTCTCCACACCGCTCCCGATTTCCATCTTTTTTTTTTTCCATCATAAATCCACAACTTGCCAAACCTCTGCCACGGAACACAGCAACATTATGAAGTCTTGAACCGCCAGACAGCTCGGGCTTCACTTCAACCAGACACCTGGGAGCGGACACGATGTGAACTTCACTCCTGTTCTTCCTTCCTATTATTATTATTATTATTATTATTATTATTTGCCAGTCCTGGGGCTTGAACTCAGGGCCTGGGTGCTGTCCCTCAGCTCTTCAGCTCAGGGCTGGCGCTCTACCACTTGAGCCACAGCGCCACTTCCGGTTTTCTGGTGGTTCATGGGAGACCAGTGTCTCATGGACTTTCTGGCCCAGGCTGGCTTTGAACCGAGACCCTCAGATCTCAGCCTCCCGAGCAGCTGGGATGACAGGCGGGAGCCGCCGACGAGCACCCAGGCCGGTTACAGGAGCCTCCTCCCTGGCTTCTCCCATGATCAGGAGGACTCCTCCCCCAGTGCCCCACCTGCCACCCACATCTTCTGGCCTCTTGTGGAGGGGGAGGGGTCAAGATAGAAAGCAAGTGCAGAACCCCAGCTCTGTGGCCAGGACAGGGAGGGAGGGAGGAAGGAAGGAAGGAGAAGAGAAGAAGAAGGGAAGGAGGGGGGAGGAAGGAAGGAAGGAAGGAAGGGAAGGAGGGAGGGAGGAGGGAGGAGAGGGGTGAGAGGGGAGGGAGAGAAAGAAGGAATAATGAGAGTCAGGGAGGGAAGGAGAAGAAGAACATCCCTGGGTAAATGAAAGGCATAAGAGGGTAGACACCCTGCAGGACTTCCGGCTCCTCC